TCTTGCCAAGCAGGCACTTATGCTGCTGAGCTAAATCCCTAGCTAAATACATTTTCCTTATCCATTCATCTGTTGATGAACATGTAGGCTGCTTCCAAGATTTAGCTACTTTGAATTGTGCTGCAGTAAACATGGGTGTGCATGTATTATTGTAACATGACATATTTAACACTTTCAAGAGGATACCTAGAAGGGGAATGGCTGAGTTGAGTAGAATTTCTAGTTTTAAATTTTAAAGGAATCTCCATACTGATATCACAGCTGATGTACTAGTTTATTATCGGGTCTTGACCTAGATCTCTGATCTCCCAAACGAGTGTATAGCAGAAGTTTAAATAAAAAAGAGACAAATTGTATGGTTTTAGGGCTCCAAGAGGGTCAAAATCCTTAAGTTGAGCTTAAGACTCCGAGGGCTAAGATAGACTTCTCTGGACCAGCCTACTTTTATTAGGACCAAGGACAAAAGGCAGGGAAACTGAGGAAAGCACAGGCAATGAGTGGGAACTTTGGAGTCACTTTAAGGACGTCTCCAAGTAATGAATCATGTCAATTCAGTAGAACTGTCTTATCATGAAGACATGGTAGAAGTGAGCATAATTCCTGCAGCTGCAGTCTCTATCTTGTTAATTGGGGTTGGAGCCAAGTGTCTGAAGCTGTGACTTTATGTTGCCCTTTGAGGTATCTCTGACCTCACAGGTCTCTGTCAGAACCAGTGATTCATAGAGTTCACTTACTATGAACCAGCTCTCGTCACCAGGCAAGGAGCTGAGGCCTAGAACAGACCTCAGATAAACATAGAAAGCCAATTAATTTTAAATCCTGCTCAGATCCACTTTGTAGTGGTCTCCAACAGTTTACATTCCCACCAACAATGTAGAAGAGTTCCTTTACCCCCTACACCCTCATTATTTGACTCCTTGATGAGAGCCATTCTCTCAGGAATAAGATGGAATCTCAATGTTGTTTTGATCTACATTTCTCTAGTGGCCAAGATACTGAACATTTTTTCATGTATTCATTGTATCTTCTGAGTAGTGTCTATTCATTTCAGTTGCCCATCTTTTTAATTGGGTCTTTTACTTTAGGCGAGTTCTTTTTTTTTTTTTTTTTCCTTTTTTTTTTCATTTTGAAGGCAGTAAAATACAACAGAACAAGACGGAACAAAGCCAATTGAGAAAATGTGGTGAAATTGGTACAGAACTTCAGGGCAGGATACCAAGAATAACAGTAATAGCTACCATAGTATATCTTGCTGTCTTCACAATAGTTGTCTATTCAATCAGATATAGCAAAATCAAACCAAAACCAGAATATTATAAAACCTATCAAAACAGAATATTGAATAGAGCAAAACAATTAATCAGAACAAAGCATAACAGTGAAACAATATTTGCCTTCAAAGATAGAAGAAAATCTCCCTTATTTGATGCATTGCATATGGATATCCTCCCAAGAGATGCTCTGGCTCCCAGTTGCAAATGGGGGTGGGGGCAGATGGGATGTTGATTCTCAGCCCGCACACTGGTAGGCCCACAGGAGATGCTGACTGGTTCTCTTCCTGGCACGCTTGCTGATTGCTTGAGCCACGGCTGCTTACCAGGAAGGCAGGCAGGTTGTTTTTGTTTTGTTTTTCTTAATCTAGGTCAGTGTGTTCTAGGTCTTAATCTTTTATCAAAGGAATAATATGCAAAAATTGTTTCCCATTCTGTAAGTTGTCTCTTCCCTCTGGGAGCTGTTTTGCTATGCAGAAGCTTTTTAATGGCTCATTAAAAAGCTCATTTGTTGATTCTTAGTATTTTTTGTGCAACTGGGGTTCTATTCAGAAAGTCCTTGCCTATGCCTATGTCTTTTAAGAGTTATAACTATTTTATCTTCTGGCAGATTTTTAAAAAATTTCTGCTTCTATCATTTCCAATAATTCAGCTCTATGGCTTTTAATGCCCCCTCAATACCCTACTGATCAGTTTGGAGGGGGCTGGGAGTCCTGGGATGCACTTTGTTGCCTTGTCATGTTTCTGGGACATGTGTGTGTGTGTGAGTGTGTGTGTTGGTTTTCAGGATGATTATACTGGACTGTTTTGCTAGAATGAAGACCCTTTTAGTGTCTGCTTTTCAGTGATGTACTCTGGGCTGGCTAACTATAAGCGTCTGTCTCTGTCCTGGGATCCAACAATGTCCGTTAATTTAGGAGGGGAGGCTACAGAATAACTGACCCAGCACCTAGCTCTCAGGAATAGGCTGCAGTACTATTTATGATGCAAAGGCAATCCAGATGTTGGCATACAGAGAAAAATAATACGACAACTATGCCACCCCAGCAGTAAAAGCAGTAACAGTATAAAAGACAAACAGGATATAGATGTACCTTAAGAACCAGAAGGTTTCTACCCTTTAGAAAAGAGATCTATAAACACTAAGACAAACCAAATATTGATATACAGTTTCATGTTTATACTAATAAAGATAGAGGGAATAGGTAACAGGACAATGACAGAAGATTTGAAGAGTTAATCGATGGAAAATAAGAGTGAGAATTAAGTTAAAGTAGTTTATTAAGGATTAAAAGGAAATAATAGAAAAGAACAAGCCAAAAAAAAAAAAAAAAAAAAAGCAACTAAAGGCAAAAATTAAAAAGAGGAAAACATAACACCCTCCAAGAAACAAGGAATTAAAAAAAAAAAAAGAATCTAAACGGAGCTTGGTGGTGCACTCCTATATCCCAGCACTTGGGAGGCTGAGACAGGAGAATCATTTGCAAGTTTGAGACTAGTCTGGGCTACAAAGTGAGCCCAAAGCCAGCCTGAACTGCATAGCAAGACCCTGTGTCAAAAAGACAATAATAATAATAATAATAATAATAATAAATCTAAGAACACATTCCTCTGTTTTCAAATGAATGTCCTCTCCTCCCAGGATCTGCAGTCTTGAAATACAGAAAGCAAGTTTGCTCCACCTCACTTTACAGCCTGTGGGTTTGAGAGGTACCTCCCAACACAAACACCCAAAGCCCTTCTGTCCACACACCCTCAGCTGTGGCAATTGTCCAGTCCTGGGTACGTCCTTGCTCACACTGGTAGCAAAAGCAATAGAACCATGAATCTCCACTGGGTGTAGGTAGCAGGGCTGGTGTTCATGCAGATAGGTGGACCTCATGTCAGCATTTGCAGATCGTGACTTCTGAAAACCACACTGGCTGGCCCTAAGTTCTCACTTAGACGGCAGGGCCCACATCCTTCCTTTCCTAACTTGAGCTCTTCAGGGGCTCTAGCCTATGCCTTCCGTGTGACTGTTTCACCTCATCATTCTGTAGGGTAACCCTGGAGACCCAGAAATGAAATTGTTCTGAGACCGTCTTTTAACAATTAACCTCTTCCCAAAATGGCTTCTGACTAAACCTTCTCCAATATGGTGGAGACTGCACTGGATTTGTTCTCCAACTCTGGCCTTCCGTGGAGTCACTTCTGGAAAAACCCCATGCTGTTCTTGTAGTTTACAACAGCCTTGGCTTTTCTTGGGGCTAGCACTGCCCGCTTGGTGTGTTATTTTTCCCTAGAGGTGCTAACCCTATTACTTTCTTTCTGGGGCGCTGGCTTCATCCATGATCAGGAAGGTCAGATGGCTGGTCCTCCGCTGCCCTGTACCACGAGAAAGCAGAGTGGGCTTGGAGCTGGTGAGTGACCATAGGTGGGACATGAACTCCGTGGGCACACAGTTGAGGGTGAATGTGCAGCTTCCATTCATGTGCAGGTGCGGATTCCATCTCTCTTGAGGGCTGTTTCTTATGGGCATATGGGGTGGGGTTTTTTTTAGGAATGTTTTTGCTCTCGGGAATTTAGTTTAGCGGCGTAAGCACCTGCCTGGCAAGCACAAGGTTGACAGTTTGAGCCCTACTACCAAAAAAAGAAAAAAGGAAAAAAAAAAAGTCTTGCTTTGTTGCTCAGGATGAGATCAAATTTGCAACTCCTGCTCAGCTTCCCAAGTAGCTGGGATTATGGGTACTTGCCACTACAACCAACTATGAGTTAACTCTAATTTTTTCATGTTTAAAAAAAATTGTTCTTATTTTTAGTACATTTGCAGTACACAATGGTTACATGCCTCATGGGGAGGTACATGTACAAATTAACTCTTTAGTCTCTCAATGAGATTTCATACTTGAAATAAATTTAAAATTTTTCTCCTTACAGAATAATTTACCACAGCAAAGTTTTATATTGTTGTCCTATATTACTAAGACAGGTGTGCACTCTGAATTTTTGACTTAAACATAGAATATCAAAACCAAGCCAAATATCCAATATGATTAAATCAGTTATGATTTGTTTTGGGAAATTTTGTAACAATAAAAGGTGAAAAGGGCCAGACATGGTGGTGCACACCTGTAATCCCAGCACCTGGGAAGCTGAGGCAGGAGGCCAAGTGTGAGCCTACCCTGGGCAATTCAGCAACTCAGTGAAATCTTTGTCTCAAAAAACAAAAGTAGTAACTTAAAAGGGGCTGGAGATGTGTGAAGGCCCTTTTTCAATTCCCAGTACCACCACCCACTACCATAGGAGGGAGAAAAAAGAGGGAAGATCAAAATATGCTGCATCCATTGTACTACCAAAGTGTGTGTGTGTATATTTAGACATATATCTCTTTTTGTTTGTTTGAGACAGCGTCTTGCTATGTAGTACTTTCGGCTGGCTTTAAACTATAGAGCCCAGATTGGCCTCAAACTCCTGGCACTCCTCCTGCCTCAGCCTCCCAAGTGCTAGAATTACAATTTTATTCATTTTTAATTGCTACATATTTTACCAAATATTTGTAAGACATACTGACTTAATCATATTCTTGGATATTTGGCATGTTTTTTGTGTATTCTATATTGAAATTAAAAATTCAAAGTGGAAGATTGTTAGGTATTTTAAATTATTACTCTAAAGCACACTCCTAGCATAACTTAACTATATACCATTAAAGTGAACCAACACCACCACCAAAAATCCAGCAACGTGAAGAATTATTCACTGATTTATTAGATGAACATACTCATAACTGATGAAAACCATACAATATAAAATAATTTAAGAAATGTTGGGAATTAGCAGCACCATGTTATTGAAATAGCAAGAAAAACTTCACATATTTTAAGCGAACACTGGAAGGAGGTTACTATTTTACAACCTAATAATGCCATTGGTCTGGGATGACTGAGACGGGTATTGTTTTAGGCAAACACACCTTCTATGCCAAAGATTCAGTGAGCATCAGTGGCTAATGTTTTAGAAAATGCTACTGAAGAGACACTGCATAGTATTTTAACTGGGACACGGAGACTAACACCCAGCTACCTTAGCATGGTCCAACACTTCTATGAAAAATGCAGCTTTGAATTATGCAATTAGAAATAAAAAATAACTTTTAAAAGACCCTATTATTAGTCTCTAGGAAACATTAAGTGGGACACCGGTCACTATGAAAATACATCACTTTTCCAGTTTGCTTAATAATTTACTTTAAAAAGGTGTGTTTTCATCATGTGTGACATACAAAAATGTTAATAAGCATTTTAGAAAGTTTAAATGTATTTCTAAAATCTAATATTCTTCCATTTCTTTTAACCATGTAGCCCTGTTGTCACGATTATTGTATATCAAGTATGAGACTGAGCTGTGTGAAAGATACAAATTTACACACATTTTACAGCAACTTAAACCCTAACATCTACAAAATTCACATTCATCATACAAGCAAGTACAAGGCCAGGATAAAACTGTTAAATTCTAAAATGTTAAATTGTACACTCTTTATTTTGTCCCCTTTAAAAAAGTTCAACTCTGCACCAAATTCATTTATTTTTTATTTTACGTTTGAAACAGGGTCTTGAACTCTCGCAATCCCCCTGCCTCAATCTCCCAAGTGCCAGGATTAAAAGCATGTGCCACCATGCCCAGGGATGGCACCAAATTTAAAAAGCCCTCATATTCTGAATTTGGAAAACCCCACTTCCGGACACATTTCAGCACACACAAACAGTTTTCCTGTGCTGATGTAGCAAAGGGTTGCCAATCTTCTTCTGGCCCCTCAGTCTGCGTCGCATGGTGAGTTTAACAGAGTTCTTCCGCTGTGAGGTGGCAGGGAGGCTTGCAGGCTGAGCACCGCTACTTCGACTTAAGCCATTGCGTCTGTGCTTTTTCATAAGTGGGCCAGAGTTGGATTCTTCCAAAGTCCTTTTAAAGTTTGCTGGAGGAGTTCTTTCAACTTCTTGGGCCTTCATTTGACCAGGAGTGGATACCTTTAAATTTTTTTGGTCCAACATGGTATTTGTTGAATTTGTAGGCACAAGGCCAACTGACAGAGTATTGTTCAAAGAATCATGTATCCTTAAAGTTAGGGTTTTAGTGCAATTTTCCTCAAGTGGCTCTGGGTCTTTTGAGGGTATGATTATAGCCTGGACACTCCCTCGAGTTATCTCAGTTGGGATCTCTAAAAGATTCTCTGAGAAGGCATTACTGCGAACGAGGGTAGGTATATGGTCTTTAGAGTTCAGCCTGGGCCATGGATCCTCTTCCAGGGACTAAAAAACAAGAAGCAAAACAAATTATTCCTAGGCTCCTTAAAAAGGAATTGAAATGTCAAAAATATTATATGCATTCACCCATTTTTTAAATCTGAATTTTTGCAAGGATATATGGGAGTAACCTGAGTGAGAGAAAAGTAATATAAAGGTAACAATGCCACTGAACTCTGCATTCAGGGTAATAAATGAAATAAAAAAAATTATCCAAAATCAGTTAAAATTCATGCGATCACAAACATTTCCTGTCTACTGATATGTAAGCAAAAATAAAGATACAAGAGTAGATCAAATATATGGTGTAAGCCAGGAATTTAGATCAGTGGCGTAAGTACTTGCCTGCTAAGTACGAGGTCATGAGTTCAATCCCTGGCACCAAAAGTATATATATATATGGTGTGTTGAAGAGCTGGGTGTGGTGACTCACATCTGTAATCCCAGCACTTGGGAGGCTGAGGCAGGAGGATCATTTTGAGTTCTAGACCAGCCTGGGCTGTGAAGTGAGCTCAAGGCCAGCCTGAACTGCATAGCAAGACCCTGTCTCAAAATTTTTTGACAAAAACAAAACAAAAATATGATGTTTAAATAAAAACACATAGTAAAAGAATACAAAATATCTTCCCACATACCCCAATTCCAGCTTACTTATCCCATCATTCTTGGGGGATGGTCTGAAACAGGATCTAGGTATGTAGTTCAGGCTGGCCTTGAAATGGCAGTCCTCCTGCCTCAGTCCCTCAAATGCTGGATGACAGACATGGGCCACTTTCTGAAGCAGCTCTCAAGTGCTCTTTCATGAGTGTCTTTATGAGATATGATAAAAAATGTAGTGAATGCTGCTGCCTGGTGCTACCCAGCAGAAAGGTAGGTTTGTGAAAAATTTTACGGTATGTCTTCATTCACCTTATTCCCTGTACTTGGCACTGTGCAAAATCCGACCCTTCCTTGAAGTCAAAAGACCAAGAAAGGTAAACATTTTGAATCAATTCAGGGTACTGAAGCAGCCACACTATGTACAACTAGAGATATCAAAGAGGACTTTCATAACTGCTTCAGCAGGCATGCAATTCCAGACTTGGAAAGCTGAGGCAGGAGGATCACTGAAGTTTGAAGCCAGCCTGAACTACAAAGTAAGAGAACTGCTTCAGAAAGTGGCAAGAATGATAGGGAAAGTGTTCAAAGTAAGAGTATTTTGAGGGGAGTTAGTAAGTCTTACTGTTAAAAAAGATTTTCTGTTAGACATGGTGGCACATGCCTTTACCCAACCAGGCAGAAGGCTGAGCTTGAGGCTAGCCAGAACTGCACAGTGAGACTCTGTCTCCAAATTTTAAAAAAAGCACAGTTATCATTATTATTTTTGGTAGGAAAATATATGAAAGACAATAAAAGCAAATATTTGAGTTTTTTTAAAAATCAGAAAAAGGAAAATGTGGTATCCATTTAAATTCGCTTTTCTGCCTATTAAACTTATTCACACTAAAATGGATAATAAATTGGAACAAAGTTTCTTATCCATGTTAATAAATAAGTAGGTCTAAGGTGTATGTTACATTATATAGAGTCCAATACTGATTTTGTTGGACCTTGTTTAGACTGATTAACCTCTTAGCACTAATATTCATAAAATGGAATCGTAATATCAACACTATTAGAGTTATGAGGTCCAAATGAAATATTACAAATAAGGTGCTTCACAAACTTTTAAGTTTTTTATACATGTCTAGAGTATCAGAAGTGGACTGATAAATTCCTAACACTAGTATTCCACAGAGGCCACAATCACTTTTCTATTAGATGCTACACACACACACACACACACACACACACACACACACACACACGAGAGAGAGACATTCAGATTAGTACTTTTACTTTCTTGAACCTAGTTCAAAACCAATATTCTGTTTTATCAAAATCTATAAAGTATTTTTCAGCAACACTAACCAAAGAAATTCTGGCTATTAGACATCACTTGAAAAGGTAAGACTCTATACCTTGACTGGAGGTGTAGAACATGGGGAAGGATTGATTACACAGGTGTCTTGACTATTGTAGGAAGGGCTATCGGTCAGATTCAGGAAGAGCTCATCTTCATTGGTGAAGTCTCCCTGATTGTCCACTCCTGGCGAGATGGAGATTACTATAGCACTGGTGTTATCTGCTCGAAGCATACGCTGCCTCCAGCGGCCTAGTGCTCTATTCACAAGCATTTTGGCACAGGACTGGCCATGTTCACCCTGTATTTAAAAAACAGGACATTAATTCACAGGTTTTATGGTTAAATTTCACTCATGCATCTTTACTTTTTTTAAATCAAGAAACTTGGTACTCATTATTATTTTACAATGCCTGGCATGTTTGTAAATGTCTGTAATCTCAGCACTCTGAAGGTACAATAGCAAGTTCAGGCCCAGCGTGGGTAGTCCCCAGCTCAAAAAAACCCTCAAAATACAAAGGATGGGGGGGTTTAGGGGTATTGCTCAATGCAAATGTCTTGGGTTCAATCTCTAGCATGAGGCAAAATGAATGAATGAACATAATTAACAAATAAGATTCTCAGGAATGTAGAGAAACTCATTGCAGAGTGTTAATTTTCTCCTAATAATGCAACTTCTGATGTAATTTCAGTTATTTGGGAGGCTGAAGCAGAATGTTCACAACTTCTAGGGCAGCCTGAGCAACTGAGTAACTTAGGGAGACATCCCAAAAGGAAAGAGCTGGGGATGTAGCTCAATGCAAAGCTGTATCCTTGCTGGGGCACAGGTCCTGCCTGACCAAGCACAATGTCCTGAGTTTGATTCCCAATACACACACACACACACACACACAATCCTGGAAAGCTATATCCTGAGGTCAATCCTCAGCACAGGAGAGAAATAAAGGGGTGGGAGGACCCGAGAGAACAGGTATGGTGACGTATACGTTTAGTACCTGAGAAGTTAAGGCAGAAGAATTTAAAGCTTGAGGCAAGCTCTAGTAATGGAGCAAGACCCAGTCTCAAAATAAAAACTGAAAAAGGCTGAGGTTATAGCTCAGTGACATGAGTACTCCTACGTTCAATCTGGTTTGGAGGGGCATGAAAAGGAGAGGAGGGGGGGAAATGTGGAGCGCTGGAAATGTAGCTCAGTCATAAAGCACCCCTGGGTTCCAAGCCCAATATTTTTAAAAAAACCTGATTGAGTCACTGCTCACCGTCAAGTATTTTTTTTCCTCTTGATCCTGGCACATTGAAACAGCATCTTGAGGTGGAATCATGTTCCAAAGCCCGTCACTCCCCAAGATAATATACTTGTGCTTCTGAGGATCGAGTGTGTGGACACTCGTGTCTGGCTCTGGTGATACCACAAACTCACCACTGAAGAAATCATAGCTCCACAGATCACCTGGGAAGCAAGAACATAAGCAGAAAGTATAACTTGCAAGCTAACAGTATCACAACACACTAAAAAAGAAAATCTGCATGTTAATTTCCATAGAGGCAGCAAAGCATTCAAGAATATTTTTCAATCTTTATTTTTATTGGCATAGTACATGTTTGCAGTGCCTAGTGATTACATTCCTTGTGGGGAGCTGGTACATGTACATAACACATTTTAATTCTTTTTTCACCCCCTTCACCTCTCCCTCCATCTCTTGGTCCCCTTCCTTTTTGCAAAAGATCTATTTTGTATTAGTTATCTTTTATTTTGCTCTGTATTATTTTGGGTTTCTCATATAAGAGAAAATGAGCAACGATGGTGAATGTCTATAAACCTAGCACTTAGGAAGCTGATGCAGGAAGATCACTGCAATTTTGAGACCTAGTAAAACAAAACAAAACAGAAAATAGAAAATATATATTTAAGCTCATGTGTCTGATTTATGTCACTTAACATTATGGTCTCAAGGTGTATCCATTTTCCTATAAATGACTCAAGTTTATCCGTCTTTATGACACAGTAGTATACTATTTTATATAAATACCACTTTCCTTATCCATTTGTTTGTTGATGGACAGACATACAGGCCACTTCCAAAATTTAGCTATTTTGAATTGTGGTGGAATAAACATGGGTATGGAGGTATCCCTGTAATATAATGCCTTTAATGAACTCTTTTGAGAAGATACCTAGAAGGAGATAACTAGAATTTTTATTTTTGGTGTTATATTTGAAAATATTAAAATTTATTCATGATTTTAAAAAAAATCTCAGAAAACTAAGACTAAAACCAAACTAAGACTAAGACTAGGGGCTGGGGATTTAGCTCAGCGGCACAACCGCCTGCCTTATAAGCAGGCAGTCGTGAGTTCGATCCCCAGTACCAATTTAAAAAAAAAGACTAAGACTAAAACTTTATTTGGTTTAGTTACAAGTTTAGTTTAGTTTAGTTTAGAGATCTTGTCTCACTTTGTAATTCAGGCTGGCCTTACACTTGAGGCCATCCTCCAGCCTCAGAATCCTCAGGGCTCGGATTATAGTAGGTGTCACCATGCCTGGCAGGAAACTAACCTGATGAAAAGCATACACTGGAAATCTGTAGCAGGGAGTGGGGGCATGATTCAGTGGTAGATTGCTTGGCTGTTCCATTTGAGTTCCCAGCAAAAATCACAAACACAGGCAAGTGAACAAGTTTAGCCACACACGCGCTCCTGCGCACACACACACACAGAGGATTCTGTAGCAAACAACTAACTTAACTTAAAAGTAGAGGTTAAGGACTTCCGGGAGAACATGGCGGACAGACAGCAGCAGCTAACAGAGGCTCTCTGAAAGACCCAGCTTAGAATTCAGGAGTGGTGCGGAGTGAGGAATCCTAAACAAGAGAGGAGATATGCCCCGCTGACCCAAGAACGAACTGGACTGAGAGAAACCAACTGGGAATGCAATCCTGGTGCTATAACAGGAACAGATAAAGCCTCAGCGTGGAAGCTGGAGCCCACGCCATTGGAAGCTGTGATTTGGGTTTCCTGCCGCCATGGCTGCATCTGAATCAGCTCGGCAGGGAGAGAGACGCGCGAAAGCTCTGAGAACGGGAATTGGTGAACAGAGTTGAAAGCAGGACGGGCAGGGAGCTGTGTATCGACCTGTGGTGAATGAGAGAAACCGGGACTCTTCCACGATCTAGGAGGCTCCAACAGAGGACATTCTGGGACCAGGCAGACTTGCCAGAACAGGGCGCTGTAGTAACTTCAGTCATATATCCCCCTCTTAAGCGGGACTGGTGAGCAGTGCCTAGCCTACGTGACGCTGCTGGCTGAGTTCCAGGAGGCTAGCACAGCCCAGGTCCCAGCACCTGAAGGTGACCTGGAGGGGTTGGCCCCGCATAGGCTGCCTGGTCCGTAACTCCCTGGTGCCCTGCGGTGGGCGGGAACACCTAGCCAGCGCAATTCAGTCAGACTGTGGCCAACAGGGAAGGAAGCTGGGCCTCCTATATACACTTGCATATATAAGGAACAAAGAATATGGGAAGAGGGAGCAACAAGAAAGGATCCTCCGCCCCCAATCCTGAGAAACAGGCAATAGCGGCCACCGCACCAATAGACATAAAGCGCTATCTCCAGAGCCTCATAGACGAGTTCAGGAATGAAGTTATTAATGACCTGAAGCTAGACATAAGCAGAATAGTTAGAGAAATGCTAAGCACCACCCAAGAAAAAACAGATGGTAGAATGGAAGAAAAGAAAAAGAGGGGAGAATTATTTGATGGAGAAAATAGAGAAAGCATAGAATACGTGAAGCAGGTTCAAAGAGATTATTACCAGGAAACTAAAAAGTCTATCGAAAACTGGCATAACAGCTTGAAAGAAACTAAGGACAGATTATCTGAACTGGAGGCCAGATTTGTAATATGGGAGCATGAAATGAAAAACTTCTTAAAAATAACAAAGAAACAAACAGCAATAATACAAAGACTAGAAGATGATAAGAAGATCTATAACTTAAGAATTAAGAACATAAAAGAAGTAGGGACACAAACAAATGAACTACAAAAGCTACTCGCAGAAATAATCCAGGAGAAGTTTCCTAATTTAGCAAAAGGTAAAAATACTCAGATGTATGAAGCATTCAGGATCCCAGCCACCTACAACCCAAACAGAGCTACACCCAGACATACAATAATCAAAATACCAGAAATCCAATACAAGAACAGAATATTAAAAGCCGTTAGAGACAAGAAACAGATCACTTACAAGGGAACACACATCAGAATTACAGCAGACTTTTCGGCGCAAACCATCAAATCATGAAGAGCGTGGGGGGAAATAATTCAAGCTTTGAAAGATAATAATCTCCAGCCAAGATTGATATATCCTGCACAACTATCCCTGGAAATCGATGGAAAAACAAGGTGCTTCCAGGATAAAGAGGAACTAGGGGAATATGCAACCACCAATTCAACTCTACAGAGAATACTGCAGGTTATTCTAAAAAAGAAAAATACAAAGAATCCAGAAATAGTGGCAGTGAGGCCATAATGAATGGAGCAGAAAACAAAATGAAGGAGACAAACTGACAACTAATGACAGAAAAAGAGCTCAACAGAAATGAGGCAGAGAAGACTGGATGATAGGAACAGCTATTTTGGAGAAAATGATGTCATAATAGGTAATGCTGATTTAGTATCATCTTGTTTTGAAGTCTCATCAAGCTTTTGCTTTTCTGTCTCCATTGGTCTTAGCATGTTGTTGGATTTTATTGGAATCTTACTGGATTTTATTATATGTGATAGTATAAACAAAAACTTTTATAGACAAAGAGATTATACAGAAACCATTGTTCATTTTCTGTTAGTTGATTCTAAATATCCTGTAATACTGTCATTCTCTTGAATGGTTTTACATTGTTTTGATATATTTGATGCAACAGTATACGAAGTCATACTCAAAGATTTCAAGGAAAGAGACAATATGGTAACTACTTTTATGTTGGGATTATCTTGTGGTAAAACACTATTTTGCTTAAATGGTTATTTTTTTCTGCGCTGTTTTGTTGTTATGCCCTCTTTTATCTCAATCTTCATTTTATTATTTACTTTTGTATTTTTTGTAATACTGTCATTCTCTTGAATGGTTTTACATTGTTTTCATATATTTGATGCTACAGTATATGAAGTTATACTCAAAGATTTCAAGGAAAGAGACAATATGGTAACTACTTTTATGTCGGGATTATCTTGTGGTAAAACTATTTTGCTTAAATGGTTATGTTTTTTTCTGCGCTGTTTTGTTGTTATGCCCTCTTTTATCTCAATCTCCATTTTATTATTTACTTTTTATTTTTATCCTTTTAATTAAGGGAAAAATAAATAAAAAAAATAGCAGGATATATTATAGTAACCCACTTTGATTTACTATTAACTTGATTTGAAGCCCTGTATTGCTCTCACCATCTTGTTTTGACTGATGTTCCTCTATTCTGTTTTGCTTGATAGTACCAGGTTCGAAAGTATAGGCAACAGCTGTGAAGATAGTGGGATTCATTATGATGCCCATTCTGGTTGACTATTATGTACTTTTAAAGACCTGTAATGTCTCCAATGTTTTGGTTTTTTTGGTTTCGTTCTTTACTGTTTTGTTCAATTTTATTATAACTGATGATATAGGCAATTCTATTAGAGACAGCAGGAGGCATTATGGTAACCATTGTTGATCACCTTGTATTATTGTTTTTACATTGTCTATTATGTCTACTCTTTTGTTATGTCTATTTGTCTACTCTGTTCTGTTATGTCACATTTGGTTTTACTCTCTTCCAAAAAAAGTAATAAGAACTGTGGGAGCAATAAAATCCAAAATGTGTAATAGTCATTGTACAAAAGAGAGGAAAAGAAAGTGCTCTAAACGATATAACTGCATGTATATTTAAGTGTATAAGATAGACAATGATATTACTGAGTTTTGTTGGATCATTGAACAGAACTGTTTGGTCTCACTGTTTGAATGTCCACTATATAAGCTTTAATTTTGTAACTTGAACAAATATTTCTAAGATGACAATATGTAATCCATTAACTAGTGATTTCCTACTGTTTATTTTTTTTTCTGAAATTCTGTATAACTTGTACCCTTTTTCTGCTTGTTTTTCTTTTTCTCCTTAAATAAAATTTAAAAAAAAAAAGTAGAGGTTAAAAGTATTTCCCTTAAAAATAAAAGGAATAAGAAAGCTATGCCTTGTATCATTATTTCTCTATGAATACTGGGCTGGAGATATTTCCTAACACAGTAAGATGATAAAAAGAAACAGAGCTGCTATCATTATTTGTAGTTTTCTTTCTTTTTTTTGTGGAGGGCAGTAGTTAGGATTGGATCCAGGGCTGCCCACACGCTAGCAAGCACTCAACAACTAAGCTACATCTCCACTCTTTTTTGAAATTTAATTTTGAGACAAGGTCTCACAAAATT